GAAGGATCAGTTGTACGACAATTATCATAATTTCAGTGACTTGCCCATTCATTTTAAAACCCAGAAATTACTTTGTTGTCAATAACCCATTATTTATATAATAAAAAAATTAGTGTTTATTGCGATGATATTTCTTATTTCCTCTTGTGGAACTAGTTATACTGGTTACTTATCGAGGGGCATCTCTCAAAACGTAGGAAAACATACCACAGCCTCTTTTAGTAAGGAATAACACAAAATAATGGAAACACTAGTTCTGAAAAATGTGGTCAACCATTATCAGATATATTATTTACTGTTATTTACAAAACTGTTATAACGTGAAAATAAAGCTGCTGATTAAGGGATAGCGAATTATTGATCGGACCAAAGACGCGCAAACACGTAGAACGACCTAGGGTTCTGATTGGTCTCGCTTCCCTGTATAGCCCAGCCAATTGAGTCCAGAACGCAAGTCACAGCCTCGGATATATGAATCATTATATTTCAAACATACTGAGTTTATATACCAGTCAAGCAGACCACAACGTACCATAAAATAGAAAATAACATTGTACAATAATGGCCAACAGGAAAATAACACGTCAAATAAATATTGACCAATAAGATGATACCATTCCATGTCCAAGGATAGCATTAGGCTTAACAGGATAATTTTTGGGGATATTTTCCTGAATATCCCAACGAAAACGAAGTACACTTTTGGATTGTTGTAATTCAGAAGTATTAACGAGATGAAACAAAAAGCTGGATCCCCTCCAACAGAAGCGTTTTTAACGACAAATTTCCTTCTTACGGCATTATTTAACATCATGTTTCTGTCTTGTAATCTCAAAACTTTACTTTCTACTTTGTTTTTCAATTTATGGTCTGATTTAATCATGATTTTCATAATATATTACATTCAAACATCAGTCGTTAAAGTTCATGAATTTCATGAATTTTGATATCATCACCTTTAGTCATACCCTGTTCTTGTTTACAATAACGTTTATCTACTTATTCAAAACAATAGCCGATGTTAATATGTTCAAAAAATATATATAATTTCAGTTTAATGATATGATGTATTACTAACTTGATGAAATAGACATGGAACGTACCTTGAGCCCATTTCTGGCTGATATAATTATGGGGAACATGGAATAGACGAAGCTTTTTTGGTGGAGTTTTGTTCTCTGGAGCTTTCATCGTTCTTCTGAACGACATCATCAGCACAAACTTCAGATAGAAGTGAAGTTTTCAAATTTCCCCATATGTGTTTCACAGCATGTTCTGTGCACCTCGATGTTGATTGGTTCTTATTGACATTAAATTTGTCATTGTTCACTTCTTTGTTTTGGTTGTGTCTCCCATTGTTTTGATTCTTGTTCTTATATTTATGCATGATTTTCCTGATTGGTTGATAAATTGGATTGATTTCAATATGCCTGTTGATTGCAGATTAACCTGAGTGCCAGGCTTCTAAAAATTCTCTGGTGTTTTTGGAGTTTCCTCTGTCTAAGATTTCCACATTTTTCCAATCGAATGAGTGTCCACAGTTGTGCTGATGATGTCGTTCAGAAGAACGATGAAAGCTCCACGACCAAACCATCCAGCTCAGAGAACAAAACTCCACCAAAATCATCCACCTGAGCTATAAATCTTCTCTACCATCTCAGTATCTAAAAACATCATTATAAAAATAATAGATGTTTCTCAATTCGAGTGGTTGATTTTAATCTTTTATCTGGAATGCTTGAAAAAGTTTAAATCGCTTTATACAACAACTCTAAGGCATAACATAATCAAAATGGAAATCGACTTCAATCCGACTACTTAGAAGTTCTATCTCATGACAAGCGAAATAATGTGCAGAAGCATGTGAAAGACTGGACTGTGAACAAACCCGGTAGGCATTTGACAGTGATGTTAGTGAACTATGAAAAAAACTATCCAAGTGAATATTTTAGGAACATAAAAAAACAAAGATCTGATTCGAACAAAATATGACTACGAGGGTTTCAGTAAGTCAAATATAAACAGTCAGCTGGAACTCTGTACAGCCAATATATTTCCGTGATATACAATATTTTTGATGGAAAAGATATTTTACACAAAATGGTACTTTAAAATGTTAAAGTACATGACCGATGAAATCATCCTTTCAGTCACCTTTCGAGTGGTTCCGTAACTCGTGTTGACAGACCATAGATGAGAGCACTCAACTATCGGTTGCAGTTACATTCCTCTATTTTTCTCTAGATCCCGAACTTATTATTACTACTCCATTAACTCGCTTCCTCAGCTGTCCTATTAGATACAATAGTTCGGACAGATACATACTTGTACCAAATCCATAGGTATTTACGACTGCACAACATTAATCTACTGAAAGTAATCTGATCACATACAATAGATTTTGAGATCATTTCAGTAAATTTATCTTGGAGAATGAAGAAACAAAATTGTGTCAACAACTAACAATATAATCATGATTTCAAAGCTAGGAGTTAATGAACATATATGAATTACCATACAGAATCTTCAAGATATTGATAGGCAAATAATTCACTATATGCATAGACGGTTAATATTTCAAGGTTATAAATTGTAAAAACTAAATGATTTTTCATACTACTACTGTTATAACAAAAAAAAATGTGAACAGCATAGTTATTAATGCATTCAGAATAAATAAGTATTTTATCTAAACAATTCAAACATAAGAATAATGATACAAATGGATGTACATACTTAAAGTTGTTCAAATTAAGTGAGATTAAAAAAATAAGCTGCCTGATTATAAAAGTAAAAATTTAATCAATCAATTTGAAAAATTTATGAACATAACCTTAATTTTTCATGACAACTACAGGAATGCGCGTTATTAAAAGCAGGTAATCGATTTATTTACAAAAGTATCGTATATAGTTAGCAAAAGCTACACTAAAAATGAATGTAAACATTTTATGTTGTTAAGAGTAATAATCGAAGTTGGTATAGTATTCTAGTAAGCTCTACTAGGTGTCAATTTATTATGTCTTAGTTTTAGCATTATATTTTCTAGAAATAAAATACACACGGATTACTTGATAATAAAAACTAGGAATAGCCCGGCAGTATACAGAAATAAGGAAAATATGCCTAATTTCAGTTTAATGTATTTTGAAGGTTTATAACGTTCACCCGATTGTAGTTTGGAAAGAAAATAGGTCCACCTTTATTTGCTCTAATGTGATCGGTGAGAATGTTAATTAATATCTTACCATAAAATTTTCGATTACAACAGAAGACAGTTACAAACAAACTAGTTTGTCGATAGATCAATTCAATATAACTTTGATATTGTGTGTGGATTAGAGGTTTGTAATTAATAAATGTTGACAATATTCCCAAATAAAACAGGATATCATGAAAATATACTTGACCAAAGTTACTTATAAAGACTTTTTCATGTTTTAATTATAATCAATATCAGATAATTTAGTAAGTGAAAAGGTTTGATACGATAGGACTGCGATTCACTAATTATATAGTTTAATGTTCAGTAAATGATTGAAATTTTAAATCTTACTCCACGTACTCTAGTTTAGACTACTGGGTAAGATCATGATCATGCATATAATTGAGTATAATTTATTTACTGTTTATGATAAACCAGTTATATGGAAAGGAACACAATTTTTTTTCAAAACACATCACAGCAATCATAGATTAAACTAGTAAAAAATCTCTAAAGTGTAGGATATATTTAGCACTATCCAGTGTCTGCAACAATACACTAATCACACAAATAAACATAACATTAGTATGACTAATGGATTATTGATTACGGCGCTGGAACTTTAACCAGTAAGTTGCAACTTCGAACCCCGCCTCGCCAGCTCTCATGGTATAAATTAGACCCGATTACATGAAACGGCCTGGTAAAAGAGCTATATCAAATTAATAATCACCTGGTAAGACAAGTTTTATTAATCACAAAAATGAGTGAGACAGGTACTAACGAAATAATTAAAGTACAGACAATGATTTTTGAGTAATACAGTGAGATTGGTATCCTGAGCTGTACTACCATGATGCCTAATATCACGATAAAATTCATCACATGACATCTGAAACTGATTAGATGGAGGATTAAGCAGGTTAGATAAAAATGTACAAGAAAGTATAAAAATAGTAAATGATAATTTTGGGGGAGCTCGGTTATCTGACATTACAAAGTTACCCAATCTAGGATCGGTTTGATAATCAGCCAATCATATTACACTGTTTGGGGAATGCTTTGCGCTCTGAATTCTTACATCTATGAATTGGAAGATGAACGCTCATTAAAGATTTAGTCGGATGACTAGCACCTGATTTACTTACATCACTTACTTTGTTAGCTGTAAACTGAAAAAAGTATTGGTCGTGAAATCAAATCAATCATGATCACACCCAGAAGCAATCAGAAGAATTAATTGCGCTTCATTGTTAATACACGAAATTAGGTGTACAAACTGTCTAAATATTTAATTATTGCTCAGTCGAACCCCCAAAACGCGACAGCTTAATATTGCTGAAGGCTATTGTTTACACTGAAAATAAAATGAGTTACATACTAGTATTATTTTTTCAGCCATATTAATTATTGAGTTGGTTTAAGTGCAAAATATAATCTTTGAAATAACAAAATCCACATTACTACGTCACAACACCAAAATAGTTTAAGCAAACAAAAGCTCCAAGAACATTTGTGATTCACCTTAAGAATCAAATAAAAAAGATGTCTGATACTTGCTATTTTTAAGATAAGGGTATAATCCTCCAATGTGCAAGCGGACAGAAAATTCCCCAATGTGTTTTCATATTTACGAGCATAAAATATTTTATAGATGTATATGACTTTATTTGTCACAAAAATATTTTGTAGCTGGATTTTTTTTTCAGAGACACACGTAATAAAATAAGTGCGTTTTTATGATGATGCTACGATATTCTTTGAGAAAAAAGATTATATGAATATAAGTCAATAATGAAGTCAATTCAAACATTTTAGTATGGAAATGTAAATTAAACGCTACACACAATGATAAAAAGAGAGTTTGGTAACATTCAGTGCTTATCAAGATGAATAGCCATTTAACGTAATTAAACACGTAAGGAAGTGTTAACACACGTACAATAAAATCCATTGAGTTTTACATTAAGAAAACAAACGCATATTATTAAACAAAATCAAACGCATACTTATGAGAACATATATTACAGTATAAATATATAGACTGAATGTGATTTATGTGCATGGTCAATTCATTATTCATTCATCATCACGCATTATTATCAGTGGCACCAATTGCAGAAACTCAGTAGAAAATTTGATGTAGCCTTTCTGATGATTCACTCTTTTTGTACAGACAAACACAGACGTTCAAAGCTAAATTGGAAAGAGTGTATAGATAAAACGAACAAAGTTAAATTAATTTTTATTATACAGAAGCTAATAATCACACTTCATTTTATTGTAACAATTGACAAACAACATATTTTGTGTAATGAATCAACTTTTGTTCCTCAGTGGACGACAATATTTAGCCAACAAACCAATAAGATACTTTAATATAATACAAAATAACGGCATTGACTAAAGGTGACTTTTATCCCAATTGCTGAACTAATATGCAGTTACATAGTACCATTTATTTATTATTTTACTGACAAGGAAACAAAGAAAGAGTAGGTGAAAATAGGTTAACAAAGTACTAAGGATTATACAGCATGATAATAGTTACTTTTGGCAACCGGTCTTATAGGAGATTACTTACGAGTTGAATATCATTAAGTCTCTTCGAGATTATAGGTACATCTTACTGACGGGTGTCAGCACATACAGAACCTCTGTTTAGACCTCCTAAACGACTTCGTTAAATATTAAAACCACATGAATAAGAGAAAATAAATAAGAAATTTAAAAAATATACATTTATTAGATTAAAATTTCAAATACAGAACATTGAGAGTACGTATTGATCAAACCATAAATATTTATGGATAATAAGTAAGAAAGAAGTATTTGAGTAGTTATTATATTGATAACTGCCAATAAAATGGTACAGCAAGAACATAATAATGGATTTGAGCATTCACCTGGAATATTTTTGCCACAATATACTTGAAGTATCAATGTATTAGCAGTATCCACCACACTAAACCTTTATATATGCTCCTTTCTATTAGTAGGTGCCTAGTTTGGTAAAGTATCTGAAAACTGATTTGAGATCACTTTGTTCTCACAGTGAAGACGGTACCACTTTATATCGCTATAAGAAAATTGGCTGCACATCTGAAACAATGTTTACATTTGAAGAAATGACGCTTATATAGAGGACTTAATTTTGTGTATTTGTGGGAAACATTACTTATAAATCTTAAAAAACATTGCAGTGAGTCATTACATCTTCTAAAGACAAAGACATGAGTTAATATAGAGAAATTAAACCGATTTTGTATATTAAAGTTACAGAATTATAAGCTTTTCCATCTAATTGATATGCAGTATCCAGTTCGTATGACCACTGATCATACAAAAAGATATATTCACTAAAATTAAATTGCTTCAAGTTCAAATTATTATTAAGGTATAAAGTAAAATAAAGTCAGTGCATGTTTGGTCCCGTATTTTGATATCTAATAACAAATAAGCAACTCCGCCTGTAGCTCTTCTAGAGTTACTGCCGGTCCCAAGCCCACAAAAAGAAAGGTTGAGGGTGGGATCGACAACCCCATCCGGTAGAAAAAAACCATCACGTATTCAATGAGCACGATATTTAAAATTATTTGTGTGGTATATATATAAGAAACCCTAAACCTTTACTTGCAACCTTTAGGTGACTAATGCTTCCTGAGTATTCTACCACATGTTATCCAGTTGCACAGTTAGAGACATTACTAGTGAGCCATTGGAGCGGCGGCTGACAGTTAAATAAATTGCTTTAAATGACAGAATTTCTGGATTCCCTTTCATCAGGAAAAACAACAAGTGAATGTTTATCTTTCCATTTATGGTATTGAAGGATCAGTTGTACGACAATTATCATAATTTCAGTGACTTGCCCATTCATTTTAAAACCCAGAAATTACTTTGTTGTCAATAACCCATTATTTATATAATAAAAAAATTAGTGTTTATTGCGATGATATTTCTTATTTCCTCTTGTGGAACTAGTTATACTGGTAATACCACCATTGAAAACCCGGAAGCACTGGACGGCTATTTCGTACTATTATGGGGCTCCTCGAAAATGAACATCCACGATCCTGCACGCGGGACTTGAACCCAGGATCTTCAGTCTCGAACGCGAACACCTAACCTCTAATTCAACACTGTCTTCATTGAGTAACTGTTTAACAACAGATACAGTTGAATCGCATTGGCCACGGCTTCAAGATGAATTTCCTGGAACTCCAGGAAAATACTTGGAGTAGAGTTTATATAAACTATCACAGTTTTTGTCCAATAAAATATGAAGAGACTATTTTACGAACCCTTTTCAATTATCTCACAACCTGATCAGAAGAAGAGTTAACAGTCATGAAAACGTGTTCACAAGAAAATGCATATCAACAGAAATTCAACGAAAGGTATGCTTAAACTAACGTTAAGTAACACCCGCCTTCACACTAATGAATAACTTTTAACATCTTCCTCCTCCGCATTTCTCAAAATCTGTAACCCATAATATAAATAAATTTTAAAATAATACAATGGGTCTTAATCATTTTAAGATGGATATAATAGCCAGTAATTTGTGCAGTGATAACCTTTTTAATGACAATGAGTATTAATATTCACGGTATCACTAGTTTAGATCCAGGTTCAAGTGTTGCCATATCTAGAGATAATTTGTTTCTCAATATGGTCATCTAGACCTATTGAGTGCATATTCCAGTGGCACTTAAATCCATCACAACTCTTTCAAATATTTATTGACATACTCTTAAAAGTTATCGTTACTTACTTACTCACTTATGCCTGTTAACCCTCGTGAGAGCAAGGACCGCTAACCACAAATGTCTAGTCGACTCTGTCCTATGATCTCCTTTCCAGTTGTTTCAAATTGATATTCGTTCTTTTCATGTCTGTCTTTGATTCTCAACGCAATGTATTCCTTGGTCTTCCTCTTTTCTCATTCCTTTCAGCATTCCAATTTCGAGATTGCCCTGTTGTGCAATCTGATGATTTCCGTATGGTATGTTCAATCCACCTACAGCGTCTTTTCCTTATTTGATATCTAAGTCCCATTTTAATATTAAAAACACGAAGTTCAGCGAAGGGATCTCTTTTCATCGACTTTATTATTAAGCTGTACAACCGTATATTTATAAAACTTTTTTACGCTAAAGTTCTGGTTCTGTGAGAATAAATTAACGAGAAATCTAAAGATTATAATACTAGAATACGTGATATGAATAATAACAGTAAAATTGGTAAGTTATGGTGAAGATTTGTAGCTTAGGCGGATGATGATGTCGTTCAGAAGAACGATGAAAACTCCACTACCGAACCATCTAGATCAGGGAACAAAACTCCACCAAAATTGATAAGTTAGCTACGAATTATAATGTGAATGCAGTAAGTTGATAATAAAGGTGAACAACTAAATGAAGTGATGTCAAAAACACTTATCAATAAAATCATGAAGATATGAGATATAAGTAAAGAGGGAAGAGGAGATTACGAAATGAAAAATCATAATAATAGTTTAAAGGCAATGTAAAGATAACGATAAGGCGTACTTCTTTTGCATGCACAATTCTGGCTTGAACTCATGGATGGTAAGAGCTTCGGCTATTTTAAGTTGGTCACGACGAAATCTAGGTAGATTTTTACGAATTGTATATACAAACTTGAAGTCAACCTGTGGATCAGCAGAATGATTAGTGTTGATTAGATGTTCAAGAACGAAACTTCCAACTGCTCTCCTCTCACCCTTGTGGAGCTATACTGGAACATGTTCTCGTATCCAAGTTGAAAGCGAGTGCTGGCTACGGCATATGTACATAGCTAAACAAGGGCGGATGGACTGGCAGATGCACAAGGAAGCGAACAGAGAGGGGAGCTTATCCTTTACGCAGTTTTGCAGCACAGAACGTTTTTTTTATCGCAGCCGTTGACTGATTTTTATTCACATCAGATGTTCGGTCACCTTTGAGTTTCAGATTCATATAAAGGTATTTCTTCGAAATGAACAAAACCGGATTCCTTTCCCCGACACCTTTTTTTCATACTCTTCTCTATTAATCGGCTTGGGTAGCAGTTTTACGCAAGAGTTTTCATGAGGAACGCGAGTTCTTCGTCAATGCATTCCGTACTACATATCCTATGTATTCGGTAATAAAATGTGTATAAGACTCCTCGTTTTGTCTAATGGAATACAGCTATAGAAGTTGGTCAGTTAACCGTTTTATGTCTGTTTTCTAAAAATAGATCTTTTCTCTGAAACTGAAAGTCGGTTTGTTCTATCCGACAGTAGGTTACTGGTGATGGTATCCGGTCAACGAACACTGATTATCTTGGGTAAACAATTGTTTATAAATAACTTTAATCTTTTGATGATGGTTATAGTAGCTCCATACAGTTGAACTGTCTTGACGTTCGCATTGAAGGTTGTGACTCTGATGTTGACTTGCTGACAGTTGTTTTGAGTTGTATATGTTCTCAAGGTGTCGGAATGAGGCTCTTGTTTTGCAAATTTTTGTCTCTACATGTGCATCAGATCCTCCTTGTTCATCGATAATGCTGTCCAGGTACGTGGAAGTTTCCAACTGTTCCAGAGGTTCTTCATCAAGTGTGGATGTGTTAGTGTTCTCCGTGTTGTATTTGGGGATCTTGCTTCTTCCTTCGTATATGTTGAGACCTACTGATTCAGAGGTTGCTGCTACAATGGTTGTTTCCATTCTCATTTGTTCGTGTGCATGGGATAGAAGGGCCAGATAGTCTGCGAAATTCAAATCTTCTAATTGATTCCGGGACGTCCATTTTATTCCGTGCTTCCTTCCAGATGTCAAGGTCCTCATAATCCAGTCGACCACTAGAAGAAAGAGAAAGGGGGATAGTAAGCAGCTTTGCCTGACTCCGGTCCTCACTTGGAATGCATCTGTAAGTTGTCTTCTATGCACCACCTTGCAGTGTAGTCCGCATATGACGTTGACGATCTCCTCAGGTACACAATAGTGTCGAAGAAGTTTCCATAAAGTCCTCCTATCCACACTGTATACTGACGAGTTTCACTCCACTGATTGTTCGACGATGATCCATAGTGTCGCGACTTAGTCTGTGCACAACCGATCCTTACGGAAACCGGTCGGTTGATCTCGAAGTTGGGTGTCTACCGAATCTTTTACCTGGTTCAGCAACAGTCTGTTTAAAACATTTCC